TCGCAACTTAGGACTTTACAGGGATGTCATGCTTAACTCAGAACGGAGAGAGACTGGGCATAGTAGACGCTGGCTCTTGTACAGATATCAATGTCATGCGCTTGGTACTAAGAATTGTTTTGTGGCTTCTTTGTACCCTTCCTTTATTAAATACCGTAAAATTCCGAAAATAAGCCCCTCCAAACCGGTAACGGAAAAAGCCCTCCGTTAAATCGTTCCTCTAAATATAAGCCCCCGGGGGCTTGTACTTGGACAATTGCCCTCAAATACAAAGTAAAACAAAGCTAAAACAGTAAATTTACTTCCAACTATAAGGCTAGCCCAATCTGTTTTGAAACGCAAATTTCCCTCCGTAGATAAGACCCTCCGAATATAAGCTCCTCTAAAAATAAGCCCCTCAAAAAGGGCCAGTGGAGAATATGAGCCCCAGGATTTATTTTCGGAATTTTACGGTATCATCGCGAGACAGGAATTGAATCTTAAAGATATAACATATTTATTTAATTTCCTTTGTTTGTCCTAAACCTCACTATATAGGTGAATTTTTCTAAATCGAAACCAGCTTTACTGGAATCTAAAAATTTGTTACAAATAACGTATTATATCTGAAATACTTGACTAACACGTCATTTTTCAATAGGAATTAAACAATTGTGATGGTACTGAGTATCGTAAACTTCCGTTTATAACCCCCGCTCTTATAACTGATCACCCCAGTTATAGGCCCATCTACCTCTAAACAAAGAAAATAAATCCGGTTGTAAGTCCTCCCCGGATGTAAGTCCCTTTCTAGCTTGTATTGAAATGAGGATTCGATTTTCACGATGTCTGGCAGCTTAAAAAGGCGAGTAAATCCAGAAAGTGTTTTGATCAGTACTGCCATGCAGCTTGTTTTGAAATGCTATTTACCCCTGTTATAAGCCCCCTCCAACCCCCCCCCCCCCCCCCCCCCACCCTTTTTCACCCCCGCGTTCTACCAGCGAGGGGGCGAACATTTTGTTTATATTCTTTTTTTTCCAATAGTATGTAAAAAGAGGAGATTATGTGGTAGCTATATATAACATCAACAAAAACCAAAAAAA